ATTTCCAAAGTTTCTGTTCAGAGAGAAGCTTTGTAAAGGAAGTACTAGCTAGGACTATCCAAATGATCTGAGATTTTTCCAAATCTTCCATAGGCTCAAATCGTCACTCTCCAAAAAATTTGAGCTCTATCCAGTAGTACATGTGAGCTCATCATCCAATCTTTTATTCTGGTCATATTTTCAGTTTGTGAGGCAACTATATTTTATATTACTTAATTATTTCTGAAACTTACCAGGGCATGTTGCTACCTATATAACTTCCCTCCACCAACTTTGAGCTCATTTCATTTAGCCAATTTCTCTCAATAATTTTCCCAAGTTTCTGTCCAGAGAAGATCATTGTGAAGGAAGTACCACTTTGGCATGTCCAAATGATATAAAAATTTTATAGTGCTTTCATATGTCCAAATGACCATGCTCCACCAAATTTCAGCTCAATCCATTCATTCATTTGACCCCAGCTTCAACATCAATATTTCTGTCCAGTGTGGTACTTTACAAAGCAAGTGCCACCTAGGCTCCTCTATTTGAGCTGCAAATTGGCCAAGACAGTCTCCTTAGTAGATGATCATCCTCAGCCAAAACTCAGGCCCATTGGCCATGTGCATTTCCCCCATCGCTAATCAAACACTTGACTGTTATTTCATGTTTGAGCTTAGTTCTGTCTCCTCATGAGATTCTTCTGTTGTATTATTCTTCCTAACACCTATCAAAAGAGTGACCAACCCACCAGACATGCCTAGACCGCCGAGAAACGTGGCAACGCACGGTCACACAATGACCACGCGGCTGGCATGCTGGTTTACACGGTGAACCAACATGCTAAAAGTGGGAAGTATTATACAATAGTATCTTGCATATTGGTTTGCATGACACAAGTAGTGGAACATTATCATGACACTTTAGCTACTTGTAAGTTGCCTGGATTTTAAACTTGGGTTAGTTGATTTCTTGGTCGCTGATTTTTGCTCTGAGATTCATGCAATGTTTTTTCTCCTGGCTTGTGTTGTTTGTTGTAACAAGTCAATGTGTACGTGCAATGCACATTAATTCGGAAGTATATTAAGTGCATGCGGATATTAAATAAGATATTATTTGTGTGCTATTATGTGATTAGCACTATTTTTGGCATGAAATTAACTGCATGCTAAACGTGTTGAGCGCATGACATTGAAACAGTCTAGGTCGTTGGATTGACATGATTTGATGACTGAGATTAATTGGATCCGCCCCTTTAGGTCTTTTTATATTTGTATAGATGTGTTTTTTACTGACCCCATATTTAGTAGAAGCCCATTAACTGTGTGATCCAGCCCTCCTCTCTCCCAGTTTTTTTTTTTTTTATTTTTTTTTCTGTTTTATGTGTTTTTGCTTTTGCCTTTTGTTTTTTTGTTAGCTGGTTTTATTTTTTGGGTATTATTGGGATGTTGGGTGAGTGTAAATGTATATACATAAATATTATGTAATATGTGCAAAAATTACACTATTATATGATTACTGTTTGCATTCTACAAAAAGCGCAATTTTAGAACAAAGTTGTGTACAAGTTTTTGTTTTTATTTTGCATTATCTTTCTTCTTTAAAGGGTAATACTATTGCTACTAATTCATTGTTTCTTATTTTGATTTTTTATTTTTTTTCTTTCATTTTCTTTCTGTTTTCAAGGATAAAACCACTGTCACTAATTCATTCCTTTTTAAGAACTATTTTGCAAAAATTCCACTATTATATGTTTATTCTTGCATTTTTAACGTATTTTTTAAAAATATTGTATGCAAATTTTGTCATTGTTTGTTTTAATTTTATTGTTGGCAAGCCCCTCAAATAAAACCGGCGTAGTTTTCTTTTAGGAAAACCGTTCACGCCCGCGCGCCGGCCAAAACTTTTGCCGGTCGAGCGCGAGCCATGCGATGCAACCCAATCCCACGTCTCGCGCGGCTCCGGGCCCATTCTTTTTTTCTATCTTCTTCCTCCCGATCTCCTTCTCCCACCCACCTGCTCGTCTTATTCCTCCCGATCCCCTTCTCCGTCGCTGTGATCTCCCCCGCGCTGGCTAGTCGGAGTTGGGCACCCGTCGCAGCTCCCCGTCGCTGCACCGCTCGTAGCACACGGCCGCTGCGGTGGTAGCAAAAAACACACCAGTGGTAGCAAATCCTAGTCGCCATGGTCACCCATGTCGCCGCTCGTCGCATCACCGCACACTGGTTGCAGCAAATTCGGTCACCGGTGGTAGCTTTTCCCACTACCGGTTGCAGCAAATTCGCAACCCGTCGTCGCTAGCCACACTTCGATGTCTTCATGGTTGTAGCAAAAACGGCAACTGCTTGTAGCTGCCCTCAATGTCGTGTGTAGCAAACATCATGGATAAAAAGCTTCAACCGCAAAAAAATCTATGAGCGGCGGTGAAAAGCTTCAATCGATGTGTGAAAAAGCTTCAACTGTTGTGTGTGGGAAAGCTTCAACCCTTGAGAAAAGGCTTCAATGGCCATGGACAAAAAAAGCTTCAGCCGACGTCGCAGGTCGCAACATCAACATGAATGGTTGTAGCAATTCCCATCACCAGTCGTAGCAAAAATGAATGACCGTTGAAGCAAAGTTGTCATTTTTTGTAGCTATCGACATGAATGGTTGCAGCAATTCCCATCGCCGGTCGTAGCAAAGGCTAGCAAAGGCCAACGGTGGTTGCAGCACTAATCCTCGTCGGTTGTAGATTTGCACATGGATGGCGAAGGAGAAAGGGATGGTTGGGCGCGGCCATGGCGAACGGGGCTGCGGCGAGGGGCGGCGGCGGAGCTACACTCGTCACCGCTGGAAGTTGAAACCACAGGTGCAACAGTTGCAGGAGTCGAGGCCACGACGAGGACGACCGGCGAGGGTGGGGACCGGCGACGAGGACGGCGGCAGAGGTTGGGACCGGCAACGAGGACGGTCGGCGTAGGTGGGGACTGGCGACGAGGACAGCAACCGGAAGGGAGAGGATGCGCGTCGCGCACCCGAACGACAGATGCGGTCCTAGCCAGAGGAAGAAAAAGATGCGGGGCGAACCTTTTTTTTATTCAACGGACCACACGGTTCAAATCCAACGGCTCGGACGCGACCGGCCGAACGATTGGGCCGGCCCGCCGGCGCAGATTAATGCCCTTTCTTTTATGGGAAATGTTTACATACGGTCGACCGGCCGAACGCTCGGCCGGTCTCGCACGCACTGGCACCTCGCGTCACGGCCCCACCCGTACAGAAGCAGCTTTCCCTTCCTTATCTTCTTTCTCCACCACCCGCCTCTCATCTCTGTCCTCGCTACTCTCTCCCTTTTCTTCGCCTCGGCCATGTGTTTTTCCGCTCCGTAGCAAACCACGGCGAGGAGCGCCACAAATAGATCACCGCGCGGGGATGCCTTGCTGCTGCAATCTCCCTGGCCGGATTCATCTGCAGGGCGAAGGCCATGGCCGGATTCGAGCTGTCCAGGGGCGTTGAAGCCATGAACGTGAGGAAGGGAATTTTTTGCAGCATGGGCGGGCTGCTAGCGGCGTCAACGGGGAGGTTTGCTGGTGGCGCCGCCTGCAGAAGCTAGATCCGGCCATGGAGGTGATGGAACCAGCCTTTGCGGTTTGCTAGAAATGTCCACTGCGGGTGCTGGAACGCCCACCACTTGGTGCTACCATCTATCCCTGCCTGTGCTGGAATCGGCGAACTTCGGTGCTGGAACCGCCCACTACGGTTTCTACAACATGCTGTCACAAATGCTGGAACCAGCCACCGCGAGCGATACAAGCTGCCCGCATCGGTGTTGGAACCTGCAGTAGTAGGAGCTACAACTGGCAATTTCGTTTGCTACAAACGTCACCAGCAGATGCTGGAACGGGCCAACTATTTTGCTACAACCGGCACAAGGCATTGCCACAGCGGCGAACTGCGACGCAGAGTTTGCTGCAACCAGCAAACTTTGCTGGAACCAGTAATGGTGGCCGCGCAGACGTACTGGTACTACAGCTACAAACGGCAATGCTCGTGCTAAAACCATGAATGCAAAAAGCTACATCTAGTAGATCAAAAAGCTTCAAACCAGACTCGGAGCACATGAAGAGCTGCAACCGTTTTAACAAAAGCTTCATCCCGCAGATGAAAAAGCTTCAACCAGAGATTGAAAATCTTCAGCTAGCCACTACAAAAGTTTCAATCGCTTTTTAGGTACACATGAAAAGTTGCAATCGTTTAAAAAAAAGCTTCATCCCGTAGATGAAAAAGCTTCTACCAGAGACCAAGAAAGCTTCAACCAAAATGCTGGAACCTGCGACGATGTCATTTTTGCTGGAACCAGCGGCGTCATTTGCTACAACTAGCGACTCAATTTGTTGCGACCCTTCACGGCGAGCTCGTCGGCAGGGTGCCGCGACCGGCGACGACACCACCGGAGCTGAGGCATCACACCGGAGCTGCGACTGTCACCATGGGGAGCTACAACCACGAGCGCACGCTGCTGCGCGCGCGTAGCCAGCGAGAAACGCAGAAGACGACGCCGGCGAGGTGCGACGTCCAGTGGCGAGGGACGGTGACCGGCGACCGGGGAGGGGAGGGCCGGGGGAGGAGGGCGGCGACGAGGATGGCTACCGGAGGGGAGAGGAGGTGCGCACCGAGCGAGAGATGCGATTCAGCGATCGGAAGAAGAAGCAGCGAGCCAACCGTTTTTTTTTTGCCAGATCCGACGGCCCACCCGACTTAAATCCAATGGCTCCGACGCGACCGGCCGAACGGTTGAGCCGGCGCGCCGGCGCAGATTAATGGCCTTCTTTTATTGAGAGGGTTCGATGGATCTTTCTCGGAACCCTCTCAAACCCCACTAGCTCCAGGACACTTTTTTGAGAGAAGCCCCATGACATTTGGTCCCACGGCTCGGGAGCAATTTCCTCTCCTTCGCTGTTCTACTCCAGTCCGCTCCACTCCACAGAGAGCACGCGCCGCTCAAAACCCTCGTCCCCGCCGCGGCGCTTCCGGCGACGGCCATGGACACCGGGGTGCCTGCCTTTCCCATGAGCCCGGTGATGGCGGAGATGTTCCGGCAGCTAGGCTTTGACCCGGATCAGGTGGAGGGCTTCCTCGCCCACTTCCTCTCCTACACCCACTGCGCCCTCCCGGAGCCGCCCGTGACGGCCGACGCTCGCCTCTTCGCCCTCCTCCCCGACAACTCCGTCGACCACTTCAGCCGCCCCCCCGACGCGCTCCTCGGCAATGTCGTCTCCCGCCTCCCCGTCAAGGACGCCGCGCGCACCGCCGCGCTCTCCCGGCGCTGGCGCGGGGTCTGGCGCTCCGCCCCGCTCGTCCTCGTCGACGCCCACGTCCACCCCGCGGGCACCGCGTACGCGCAGCGCGTCGCCTGCGCCGTCTCCCGCGTCCTCGCCGCGCACCCGGGCCCCTTCCGCTGCGTCCACCTCACCGAGTCCCCCCTGCTCACGGCCTGGCTCCAGATCGTCGCCGGCAAGGGCATCCAGGAGCTCACCCTCGTCAACCGCCCGTGGCCGCTCGAGATCTTTCTCCCGTCCACCTTCTTCTTAGGCATGGAAACCCTCACCCGACTCTACCTCGGCCACTGGATCTTCCCCGTCACGGCCGACCTCCCGCGCGCCCCCTGCTTCCCCAACCTCCATGAGCTCGGGCTCTGCGACGTCGTCATGAAGACCGGGGATTTGGACTTCATCCTCGACAGGAGCCCCGTGCTGGAGACGCTATCTCTCGAAGGGGGGAGGCTCGAGCATTGCCTCCGCCTTGTCAGCCAAAGCCTCCGGCGCGTGCAGATCATCGGGTGCTCGGTTCAAGAAATCTTCGTGGTGGACGCGCCGTGCCTTGAGCGGCTCATCCAGTCGGGAGGCTGGTGCCCTGAAGACACTGACGGCAACTGCACCAGGCTAAAGATTGGCCATGCCCCCATGCTGCACATGTTGGGATACTTGGAGTTGGATTCAGGGCACGTCCTAGAGGTCGGCAAGACCATCATCAAGGTGCCACATCTTTCTATTGGCTCAATGTAAACAAATTCCTAAGCGGTCTATGTGAATTTGGCATCTTCCTTCTCTGAATCGGGTGCATTTGTGAACTGTGCTTGCAATTGCAGGCTGGGACAAGGGTGAGCCAGAGCACCATGGTACCAAGCGTGGGGATCCTGGCTTTGGAGGTGCGTTTCGGAGTCCGCAACGATGCCAAGATGGTTCCCAGTGTCCTCAGGTGCTTTCCGAATGTCGAGACGCTCCACATCAAGGTGAAGTCCCTGACGCTTCTTTGGTCTTCCGTCTGCGCCATGGTCTGCATTTGACTGATCGAATTTTCAGTCTGCGAAAACTGATCGATCCACTGGCAAGCTGAACCTGAAGTTCTGGCACGAGTGTGGTGACATAGAGTGCATCCGGTCGCGCATCAAGCTGCTGGTTTTCCATGATTTCCGAGGGGGCCGAGGCGAGCTCGCCTTCCTCAAATACTTCTTTGAGACCGCATTGGTGCTGAAGAAGGTGGTGATTCTGTTCGCCGTTGGCTTCGCTTCGACGGAGGAGGCGCGGTCCAAACTGTCGAGCTTGGGGTCGGTGAAACGGGCCAGCGAAACCTCTACAGTGCTGGTCACCGTACCTTCTGATCCTAAAGAAGGTTCCATTCGGAGCTTCAAAATAGGATCTCGGTTTTCTGCTGACGACCCTTTTGCAAACTACAGTACTAAAGTCACAGCAAGCGAACTGCAGTACCTACGTAGGAGTATATTTCATCCTGCAAAGTAAATTGCTCTGGAAGGAGGTTGTGTATGTATGACCATGGCGGCGGAATGTTCTGGTATCCGTATCGGAATTACTAGATATCACCATTTGTGTTGGACAGAGGTGTAGAAAAGTACAGCGGCGCAGATAATGTTGTGCGGGTGCATTCCGCGGTGGTACTCGTCTTTTGGAATTCCAAGATGGCTTGCTTGGGATAATAATCTGCTAAAAGGAGGCGGCCTCGTAAACCCATTTGCCCCCTTTGCAATCTCGGACAGGAAACTGCAAGCCACTTATGAACTCATTGCCTGGTGTATGGGTTTATTGCTTCACAGGATTATCACAACCGACCAAAAATGATCAAAAATGAACATGAGCGCGAAAATTGCTTCACGGAAAGCATGGTGTAGGCTAGAAGGGATGATAGTAACCAATGCATCTAAAATCCATAGTATTTTGTCGCAAAAGTTGAGATGCAAACTTAAATTAGTAAAATTCATCCAAATAAATAAGTAAATTTCATGCTCATGTGCACTAGAAGAAGAAAAAAATCCCGGCAATTTGTCTCTGGAGCACATGGCACCTAAAATTTCTCGGCTTTGTATAGATTTTTTTTTACAAAATGAGTTTGCATATCAATTTCTTTAATTTTCTACAAATTTGAAGCCCTCGAGACATTAAACGCGATATAAATGCCTTTCTTTTCCATTGATTGTACAAATTTAAATTAAAGATATGCTTTGTGTGTTCCACATTTTGAAACGGACGCGTCATAATTAGATCGTTATGCAGAGTAGGAACCGTCTTTTATCTAAAGAACGTTATTCATCATAAGCTAGTCCATACACTGAAAAGAAGTGCATTACTTTGCTACAGACCACAAAAAGGCACTGTGTAACATCCCGATTTTCAGAATGTTTAAGAAGTTCTCCAAAAAAGTAAGGCCAGAAAATTCTTTGTTTAATCAAGCTATTAGCATAAGTTGAGTTTTTATAAATTTGGAGGATTTAATTTGAATTAATGCCAATATAAATTTAAAGAGTTTTATCCTGATTTTTTAGCTGGGATTATTTTTCTTGCCTTTGGCATATTAAATTATGGACTTTTATATTTTTTTGAATTTTCTGAAGTCCTTTGATGAGTACATTTTCTCCGAGGAAAATTCAGATATATTCATCTTCAATCATGGCTGAAGTCCTTTGATATTTGTTTGAGCACTTGCCTGAAAAGAAAAACCATTTTTTTCTCGCCCCGGATATGGGACTAAAATACCTAGGCCCAGTTTACATCTGTCTCTTCAATACAGCTTAATGGGCCTAGCCCAATCTGGTTTTTCTCTCTTCTGTTAATTCTTTCCCGCCTGGGCTCCCTTCCTATAACTCGCACCCCATTTGACAACCTCCACGTCAAACTGCCGCCACTTCGCATACGTGATGCGACCGAGTGATGCGATACACCGATCTAATTTGTGTACGCAGTTCGCTTACAACATCATCCTATTTAGGGAACCAATTTAATTTTTTCGTTTTTCTTTTTCTTTTTGTCAATTTTCTGTTTCTTTTTGTTCTTTCTTTTCCATTTCTCTTTTTGTTTCTTTTTCCTTTTTCAAGTTTATATTTCTTTCTTCAATAGTTTTCACATTTTAAAAAATGATCTAATTTAGAAAAACAAAATTTAAAAATTGTTCTTAAGTTCAAATTTTCCTCATATATTCAAAAATGTTCTCTTTTTAAAATATATTCATGACTTTCAGAAAATGCTCCAGTTATAGAAAAAATCGTCATGTTTTGGTACAAATTTTTCACAACTTTTCAGAAATGTTAAGGATATCAAAAAAATGTTCTGTTTACCAAAATTTATTCGTGCTTTTGAAAAACTGGTCGGAATTTCGAATTTTATTCACAATTTTTAATAATTGCTCAAAATTCGGAGAATGTTCAGAATTTCAATTTTCTATTAAGGTTTTTCAAATTCTGTTCACATTTGTAAAATAATATTCAGAATTTCAAATTTTGTTTATAATTTTCAAATTTTGTTCCCATTTAAAAAACTTCATATTTCAAAAAAAATGTTTGTCTTTCATAAAGTTATTCATGTTTTTATTTTTCTTTCCTTTGAAAATAATTGTTTCGATTCTAATAAAAATTCAAAAAAAAGAATCTGTTTGCTTTTTCCGTAGTATGATCAAAACTTTGAAATGTGTTCCCGTTGTTAAATTTGGTTCTCAAATTTAAAAAAATGTTCAAAGGGTTGAAAAATATCCTTGTTTTCAAGTTCCGTTCACAAATAAAAAATGTGCCAAATTTCAAGATATGTTAACATTTTCCAATGTTTCTCCATAGTTTTTAAAAACATTTCGTGTTGTTAAATTTGTGTTTGAATTTCAATATTTGTTCACATGTTTCGATAACTATTCAAAACTTGTTAAGTATTTCAAAACTTTGTTCATGATTTCAAACGTTACTCACATTTTTTAAATTATTCTTCACATTTTCCAAGAGAATGTTTGAAAAACTTTGAAAACAATAGGGTTATTTAGTAATTTGCTCTGCGTGAATGTCAGGAGCACTCGCCAGCCCAAGCGGCTAGCGAGAATGCCTCTGATATACTTTTACATTGCCACAGAGCCTAAATGGCCCGGCCCAGTAGGGGCTCCGTTCGTGTGTCGTGACGGCAATTTGCCGCAGAGCGTGTCATATAGGAGGTCACTATCCCCACTTCAGCAAGATGGTAGGAACGCTCGCCGAAGGGGAGACCAAGCTGGGCCGGCCAGGAGCGCGGGAGGCTAGAGCCTCTTTTCTGTTTTTTCTTTATGTTTTCTCTTTCGTTTTTCACTTTATTTTTTTTGCTTTTGTTTATACTTTAAAATGGCCTAAATATATATATTACCAAAAAACACAATAATAACAATTTGAGAAATGTTGACGAAGCATTTGAAAGAAGTTAAATGTGTCTAGAGAAAATGTTTATCACGTACGACCATGTATAAAAAATGTGTCTAAACATTTTGATCATGTATATAAAAAAATGCTAATCAAGCATTTTAAAATTTTGAAAATTTATTTCAAAAATATCGATCAAGCATTTGAAATTTGTTAACTGTCTATAGAAAAAATGTTGACCACGTATTAAAAAAATATGATTTTTCACCATGAATATAAAAATATTAATCACGCATTGAAAAAAATCTTGAAACAAGTATTTGAATTTTTTATCAATAATTTGACAAATGTTAAATGTATTCAAAAATGTGATTGTTATCATGTATATAAAAATGTTAGTTAAGTGTTTGAAAAAAATATTGAACAAGTATTTGAAATTTTTTGATCAAGCATTTGAAAAATGTTAAATGTGTATAGAAAAAACTGTTAACGGTGTATTGGAGAAAATGATTCCTTTATAATATATATATATATATATATATATATATATATATATATATATATATATATATATATATATATATATATATGTTAATCAAGCATTTGAAAATATATTGAATAAGTATATTAAAAATGTTAATCAAGTATTCGGATGTTAAATGTGCATATAAAAAATGTTGACTATGTATTAAAAAATATTAATCTTGTATTTTAAAATGTTAATCAAGCATTCAAAAAGGCTTAGAAGTGAGTATAGAAAAATGTTGACCATGTATTCAAAATTGTTAATCTTGTATTTGAAAAATCTTAATCAAGCATTTGAAAAATGAACGAAATGTGTATAGAAAAAATGTTGACCATGTTTTAAGATAATGTTAAATTTGTATTGGAAAAATGTTAAACATGTATTAGAAAATTTTTGTTGACATATACAAAAAATGTAGAATGAAGAACAAAATAAACAAAGAAAACCAAAAAAGAAACAAAATAAACCAAAGAAAAAAGAAAATGAAAAAACGAAGAAACAAATGCAGAAGGAATTAAAACAAAACAAAAAACCGGGAAAGGGAAAGAAAATAAATAAAAAGAAACAAAAAACTGAAGACAAAAAGGAAGGAAAAATGAGAAAGAAAAGAAAAAGGGATAAAAATCATGAAAGAAACAAAGGGAAACCAAAAGAAAAGAGTGAGAAAAAACCTAAGTCTAACGACAAAAAAAACAAATATAACCGGAGAAGAAATAAGAAACCAAACAAAGAACAAAAGAAACGAAAAAAAGGAGAATTAAAAAAATCTAGGGTCTTTTCCTCAAGTGAACCGCGCGTGCTATTGTACCATCAATGCAACTTTGGCGCGATGGCTGGCAGCGCTTCGCACTACCTGGGCGACCTCGGGTCAAATGCCTGCTTCTTCTCTTTTAGTAGCGATAATGGGCTAACCCATTACTGTATCCTCTTCAAGCGAGAGATCCTTCGATCTTGCGTAAAGCGAGATATGGTCATCACGTTCCCGCCTGGCCCTAGCTTGTGGGAAGCGGTAGGTGGGAGGTGGTAGTTTTGTCCTGGT